TTTGTCTGTGGATATCCAGGGCTCATGTATGAGATTACTGACAAGCATTACTGAATAATCAGATGAGGGACAGTTTGCTATGTCTACTAGGTGGCTAAAGTCTGATCCTCAGAGCCTATGGTTTGGACACAGTCAACAACACTTGGGCCCACAGGGTCTTGACCTCCTGACCGGGTCTGCACGGTCTGCATCAGATTCCCCCTTATTTATTGTTTGTTTAAGGGACGCTGCCTGTCTTAGGCGGTCAGTGCAAATTCCTCAGTCTTACCCGTCATCGAAACTCATTGCAGCATGGCAATGGCTCTGTCTTAGGTTGCTGAGGTTCCACGTGATCCTTACCCATCTCTGGCCACACGTCTAGCATAACCAGCCGCCATCCGAGGAAGGCAGGGAGGGAAGACTCCTTATTCTTAATGTTGTTGTTAAGTGCTGTCGAGTTGGTTCTGACTCATAATGACCCTGTATAGGGTTTCCGAGGAGCAGCTGGTGGGTTTGAACTGCCGACCTTTTGGTTCCCAGTCCAGTGCCTATCCTACAGTGCCACACCAGGAGTCCTTATTCATAACAACCAATAATAATTTATATGTGCATAAATAATAATTCCTAGTGTTTTTTATGGAAAGAAAGATCTGGGGAACAGGATGCTGGGGTCACAGCTGGTTATACCATTAACTGTGTGGCCACAGGCATATGATGTCCCAGAAGTCATTTCTTCATCTATAAATCAGAGAACTTGAAATGTACCCATGCGTCCCAAGCCTCTGCCATGTCATCATTACGACTTTTGCTTTATCAGCATACTGCCTGAGCCATTATTTGCTTGATTACATGAAGGTAAATAAAAAAGTGTTGCTACAAAATCATAGAAACCTTTATTAAACACACATCTCAATGTGAAGCTGTTGTTTCTTCACTTATGCCCTATTTGGGTCTATACGCTTCTGAAGTCAGTGTTCCCATCTCTCTAACTCTGCCCCAAGGAATTTTGTGCTCTTCAATTTACATCACATCAAAAAGGCAGTTTTGGCATCCTCAAAGGACATAAATCAGGTTCCTCTGACATGTTCTTTGAGTTTGGGGAACAAAAAGAAGTCTGAAGGGGCAAGATCAGGGTTGATGGGGTTAGGTTTCCCAAGTACATTTTCGTAGGAGAGCCCTTGCTACCCTTGAAGAATGAGCATTGTTATAACGGAAAATAATTCCTCAGTGCAATTTCCTGGCCTTTTTCTCACCAGCGGAGTTTTCTTTTTTTGAAAAACTTCTTCCTAATAAGCCCCCATCACCGATGTGGCACTGTGAGATAAAGCACTAGACTGCAAGGTTGGTTTGAACCGCAACGTTGGCGGTTCAAACTCACCAGCCGCTCCTTGGAAGCCATATACAGGGTTGCTTGGAGTCAGAACCCACTTGATGGCACTTAACAACAACATCATCCTGTGTACTTCGAGAAAATCAATCAAGATGACCTTTTTGGAATCAGCAGTCAATATAACCTTTTGAGCTGATCTCTCCCGTTTGAATTTACATGACTCAGCAGATCCCCTCAGAAGCCACTATTTTGATTGGACCTTATTTTTTTTTAAGACACTCTAATGAGACCAAGACAAGTATACTCTTGAGAGAACTTGCTGGCAGTCATCCACTGATTGGAGACATGTTAAAACATGTTTTGTTTGGAATAAGCCCATGCATGTATGAACTAGAATCCTAATGGTAACACTTTTTTGACTTACCCTCATATATGCTTAATCAATTCACTTTTTGTTTACTTGAAAGTATACTTAAAGAAGAAAATTTAGGTTACTGCTCATAATGGCCAGCCAGCATTTCCCTAGGAAATGTTCAAACAAGCATATTACTATCAGTTTTAAAAATGCTCCTCTGTGTACTTCCTACAACTATCTTGTGGGACCCACGTTACGTATTTTGGGAAACACTCATCTAGGGACCCTTTCAGCTCAATGGTCCTAAAATATTTTAAAGTGGTACACATTGCTATGATGCTAAACAGATTTCAGTGCAACTTCCAGACTAAGACAGACGAGGAATAAAGACCTGGAAATCTACTTCCAAAAAACCTGCCAACAAAAACGCTATGGCTCACAATAGTACAATCCACAACCAATGGGTGGGGGTCCTGCATTGGTGATTCCTTCCGTTGAGGATCGGTGCCATTAATCAGGGGCCAATGCCACACCACCGAACAGCAGTACCAACAGCAATGTGTTTAGATATGTTCCTCTGGAATGCATCTACTTCATAAGGGAACTATGTCGGAGCTGAGGCAGCTGACTGGGAAGAGAGGTGTAAGTGTCAACAAGCGCTCACACACCTGTGTCTCCAAACCAGTGGAAGCGGCCCCCAGTAGCCCGGACAATCTCCCTGTAGGTGTTGGCTGTGTCAGTGCAGCTGGCATAGCAGGCAGGGGGCATGCTGTCCATCTCTGGTTCGCCCACGTAGAAGAGACACACGTTCAGCTGGAGGTCACAGCCCCCACAGGCCTCAGCCATGTAAGCACTGAGGATGGACTGTGGGGAGAAAATGCATAGCTGTGGTCACAGGCCCGTTCAGTCTAATGATTGTTCTCAAGAGCCTACTGTGGGCCCACTCTAGTACTCAGCATTGAAGATAGAAAGGGATGAAGGAGCCAGAGACATCATTTCCACACCTGGCACTGTGGGCTAATGCGCTGGACTGCAAAGTTGCTTTGAATCATAGGGTTGGCGGTTCAAGCTCACCAGCTGCTCCTTACAGGGTTCATTATGGGTTGGAATTGACTCAATGGCACTTAACAACAAACAACAGCAACAAATAGGGTGTATCCCAGGGAGTAGTTTGAAGACTGTGGACAAGTTCTCCAGGCGAGTTGTTAAAGTCTGAGAGCGCTGGTTTGGAAAGAAAATATTGGAGAAAACAGTTGCTAGACTTCCACCTGTAGGGAGACGTGGGGTCACTACGGATAACAGGGCCCAGGACCATGCCTACTCACCATGTCCTGGTCAGGAATGCCCCCAGTGAAGAGGTAGATGCCTTGCGATTGTTGTTTATCCTTGTCCTTGAAGTCCACTTCTACAGCCTTCCGCAGGGCGCTGAGGACATTCCTGCTGCCACGACACCGCAGGCTCAGGGCCCACCTGAGGAGGCAGAGGAAGGCAGTGCTGAAGGTGGAGACCACCTGTGTGAGGCATCACCAGGAAAGAGGGTTCTTTTGGATCAGCAGTCTGGGGAGGCCGGCAGTGGAAATCAGTTGTCTTCAGTCTTCTGCTTGTGTCTATTGGAGGGCGGAGCAGAATAGAGGAAATAACACTGACCAAGCTGCCCATGTTGAAAGTACCATGGACTGTCAAAAGAACAAGCAGATCCGTGTTAGAAGAAGAACAGCCAGAGTGCTCCTTGGAAGCCAGGATGACCAGGCTTCATCTTTTATACTTTGGACATATTGTCAGGAGGACCAGCCACTGGAGAAGGATATCATGTTTGATAAAGTGGAAGGTCGGAGAAAAAGAGGACGGCCCCCAAGGAGATGGATTGGCACAGTGGCAGCAGTGATGGGCTCAGGCATAGCGACGATTGTGAGGTTGGCCCAGTGTTTTGTTCTGTTGTACATGGGGTCACTATGAGTTGGTACTGACTCAATGGCACACAACAACAACAACAACAACAAAGCTGCCCTCAGGCACAGCACTGAGCAGTTACCTACCGCCAGGCACTTTGCAAATTATCATGGCTCACGGCATCCATCTCAGGTTTCCAACTTTCAATTGTGCTTCCAAACCTTTGAAAGAAACAAAGACGACAGGTTCTTAGGCTGGAGGTATGTTTTCCCGGTGACCCAGTTTTTTGGACTCCCCAGACTTCTAGGGGGGAAAAATTGTGATTACATGCCCCAAATGAAAGGATTTCACTGGCCTGGGCCAGTTACAGAATTTCCTTGCTCTTTATAGCATGTCCCAGCAAATCTGAGGTGTGAAAGAGCTGGACTCTCAACCAAGACACAGCAAGGCTAAGCTACGACTCGTTTCCCTTCTGCCATGCCGGCTGTAACATGTGACCTTTCCCTTCTCCATGGGAACTTCCCATTCCTTTTGAGGTTCTCCCATCACTGGTTCATCTTATAACACAATTTTTATAAAGTTACTGTTATATTTTCTATATAGTTTTAAAAAATCGCTCTCTTTTTTTCCCTGTGTTGTTGTTAGGTGCCATGAAGTTGGTGACAACTCACCGTGATCATATGCACAACAGAGCCAAGCACTGCCTTGTCCTGAGTCATCACAATTGCTGTTTGAACTTATTTCTGCTGCCACTGTACCAATTCGTCTCAACGGCATCTTCCTTTTTTCCACTGACCCTCCACTTTACCAAGTATAACGTCCTTCTCCAGGAACTGATAGCATGTCCAAAACAGGAGAGACAAAGTCTTGATATCCTGGTTCTATGGAGTATTCTGGTTGTAATACTTCTAATACAAATTTGTTTGTTCTCTGGCACTTCATGATATTTTCAATATTATTCTGCAACCCCATAACTCAAATGTATCAGTTCTTCTATAGTCTGCCTTATGTATTGCCCAACTTCTACGTGCATATGAGGCAATTGAAAACACCATGGCTTGGGTCGGCTGCACCATAGACCTCAAAATGGTGTTTACACACTGTAAAGAGATCTTGTGCAGTAAATTTGCCTAATGGAATCCTTTATTTGATTTCTTGATGGCTACTTGCAAGAACGTTGATTGTGAATCCAAACAAAGCATTTGACAACTCCACTCTTCTCCATTTATCATGATGCTATTTATTGGTCCAGCTGTGAGGATTATTTTTTTTTCTTTACATTGAGATGCAACCCATACTGAAGGCTGTTTTTGATGTTTATCAGTAAGTATTTTAAGTCCTTTGTTTTCAGCAAGCAAGGTTGTATCATCTGCATATCACAGGTTGCTAATGAGTCTTCCTCCAATTCTAATGCTACGTTCTTTGACAAATAAACCAGTTTCTTAGATTATGTGCTCAGCATGCAGATTGAATAAGTATGGTGAAAGAATATAACCTTGGTGCATACCTTTCCTGATTTTAAACCAATCAGTATCCCCTTGTTCTATTTGAATGATTGCCTTTTGCTCTGTGTACAGGTTCCTCAGGAGCACAATTAAGTGTTCTGGAATACCCATTCTTCATGATGTTGTCTGTAGTTTGTCATGATCTACACAGTCAAAAGCCTTTGCATAGTCAATAAAACACAAGTAAACATCTTTCTGGTATTCTCTGCTTTCAGTCAAGATCCATCTGATGTCAACAAAGATATCCCTGCTTCCACATCCTCTTCTGAATCAGGCTTCAATTTCTGGCAGTTCCCTGTTGATGTATAGTTTCAGCATTTTAAAATTATATTCAGCAAAATTTTACTTGCATGTGATATTAATAATATTGTTTGATAATTTCCACATTCTATTGGGTCACTTCTCTTTGAAATGTGCACAGATAAAGCTGTCTTCTGATCAGTTGGCCAGGTAGCTGTCTTCCAAATTTCTTGGTAAAGATAGATGAGGGAGCACCTTCAATGCTTCATCAGTTTGTTGAAAAGTTTGAATTTGTGAATTTCTGGAGCCTTGCCCTTCACCAATGCCTTTAGTATGCCTTGGACTTCTTCATTCAGTAACTTCAGTTCTTGATCATATGCTACCTCTTGAAATGATTGAATATGGACCAGCTCTTTTTGGTATAGTGATTATGTATTCTTTCCATCTTCTTTAGATGTTTCCAGTGTGATTCAATATTTTGCCCATAGAATCTTTCAACATTACAAGTTGACACTTCAATTTTTTCATCAGTTCTTTCAGCTTGAGAAATGTTGAGAGTGTTTTTCTTTTTGGGTTTTTAACTCCAGGTCTTTGTACGTTTCATTATAATATTTTATTTAGTCTTCTTAAGCTGCCCTTGGAAATTTTCTGTTCAGCTCTTTTACGTCACCATTTCTTCCATTTTCTTTAGCATGTCTATGCTGGAGAGCAAGTTTAAGAGCCATCTATTTTTGTCTTTTCTTTCATTGCTGTCTTTTTATTGACCTTTTGCTTTCTTCCTGTATGATAGTCTCCCATAGCTCTTCTGGTCTTTGGTCATTAGTGTCTAATGCAGCAAATCTGTTTTTGAGATGATCTTTAAATTCAGGTGGAATATATTCAAAGTCATATTTCAGCGTCAGTCTGAATTTGCATATGAGCAGTTGATGGTCTGTTCCACAGTCAGCTGCTGGCCTTGTTTTGATTAATGGTAGTGAATTTTTTAACCATCTCTTCCCACAGATGTAGTCAATTTGACTCTTGTGTATTCCATTGGTGATAACCATGTATATAGTCACTTTTTATGTTGTTTAAAAAAGGTCTTTAAAATAAATAAGTCATTGGTCTTTCAAAATTCTATCATGTGATCACTAGCATTGTTTCTATCAGTAAGGCCATATTTTCCAACTACTGATCCTTCCTCTTTATTTCCAAGCTTCACATTCCAACCACCAATTATTATCAGTACATCTTGATTACATGTTTAACTAACTTCAGACTGAAGAAGTTGGTTGTTGTTGTTAAGTGCCATTGAGTTGGTTCCAACCTATAGTGACCCTGTCTGTATAGGGTTTCTGAAGAGTGGCTGGTGAACTTGAACCACCAACCTTGCGGTTCAAACCAACTTTGCAGTCCAGCTCATTAACTCACAATGCCACACCAGAACTTCCTGTTGTGCTGTCAAATTGGTTCCAACCCAAAGCAACTCCATATAGGGTTTTTGAGGAGCGGCTGGTGAGCTTGAACTGCTGACCTTGTGCTTCAAACCGACTTTGTATTCCAGCACATTAACCCACAACGCCACAGAACCCTTCAAATCCTAGGTACATTTATCAAATTAGGTGACTTCCCTGAGTGCCATTTACATGAGACTAGATGATTGTCAAAAGAGACTCTGAAACTTGCTCTTGGCGAAGTAAAAGCTGAACAGAACATTTCAAAGGACAGTTTGAGAAGACAAATTAATGAAATGTGCAAAAATCTAGAGTTAAAAAACTAAAAAGGGAGAGAGGCTGCAATATGGTGGACTAAGCAAAAAGGCTGGATGGCTCCTCCCTCGACAACAAAAATATGGAAAACTAAATGCAACAGATGCAGGTGGTGGTACTCCTGGAACTATGAGCTTCAGATGAAGGGACAAAGAAGTGGACTGAATGATTACTAGGAACTAGGACAGAGAGTTGAGCAGACATGGCAAATACGGAGAGCCTGCTCGCCTGAGCTGGCTGACCAGACAGAGTGCAATTATCTTGATCTTTTGCTAGTGACTTCAGAGACAAAAAAACATATTGGTGTTCCAGAAACATACCTGTGGTTCATGGAGATACATGTCTGTTGCTTGTGATTTTTTTGTTTTGTTGCCTACACTCCTCTGGTGACCAGAGGTGAGACCGGCCCCCACTTATGTACACTCCCTGCGGTTGGAACCACACAGAGGTGAGCACAGCAGTTGTGAGCCCCATTAAAAGAGAAGGAGCTATCTGTATTAATCCCATTTGGGTGGACCCTCCTCCAAATTTACAGAGCCGGCCCTGACCAGCCCTGGACTAGTCCTCACTGAGAGAAACAGCTGAACAGATGCATGGGGGAGAAAAGAAAAGAAAAGAGACTGGGTCATCTGTGCCGGTCGGCCAGATGCAGCTTGGCCATCTGGAACTTTTATGGCCCACTGTAAAGGCAAGTGGGCAGTAGGTGGTACAGAGGCATACTGCTTATTGGTGGAGAGAAAGTTGCTTGTTTTTTTGTTTTATGTCTAGTACCCCACAGTACGCTGGTGACCAGCCTCCACCCATGTACACTCTCAGGAAAGCTCCTGCTCTCTGGGCTACTGAAGTCAAAGTGTGTAGGGAGCTAGCGGAGCTAGCAGTCCTGGTTAGCCCTGGACTAGCAGGATCTCTCGCACTTGGCTGCTCTCTGGGATGGAAATACCCTGACTTTCCAGCTTCCAGAGTGGGTACCTGGAACAGACAACACCTAGCCCTACACCTAGCCCATCTAGGGTTGAGTGTTACTATCTCATCCCTTACCCATCACTCCTGACATGAGGGCCTTGGCTGGCAGTAGACCTCAGAATTTTCTCCTCTTTGGGTCTGCCACCTGCCCTGGTTTTTCTCCATTTCATTGTCTTTGTTTGTTTTTCCTTTCTTCTATGCCTTTCTCTCTCTTGCTTTCTGTCCTTTTTATCTCCCCTTTTATTTATTTTTTGTTTTCTTTTTGCTTATCTTTCTCAATGGCTGATTCTTCTTTCTTCTTCTTTTTAAAACTACTCTCTGGTCTCTCTCCCTTTTACTCAGTCATCTTCCTAATTGTGTTTAGTTCTTTTTCTGATTTTATTTTCTTCTCACTCTTTTTTGTCTTTGTTATTTTTAGTTTTTATTGTGAACTGAGTGATAGTTCACATGGGAGAACATCAGCTTTGCACTCATCCTATCACATTTCATTTCATTGCAATGATTACAATCCCCTCCATGCATCATCATGCAACAGAATTTGCTTCTACTCCGTCTGTGATTTGTTATTGTTGTTTTTGGTTATACACTAAAACACTCAGGAATATGCAATCATTCAAACAATTAAAGGGCCTGCCCCCCCGGCCGCCAGCACACAGTCCCTCTCCCTCCATGAGTCTAGAGTGCCCAGCTGCAATATCTCTCCACATCATCATCTCTGCCTTCATCTCTGGTGTCACAGCTTCTCTGAATAGGGTCCCACAGTCC